TGGGCTGGTCCATCAGTGGAGGCCATAAAGGGGAACTAGTTTTTTTGCCCCCCTCTCCTTTACACATCCTAACTAGCACACACTCACTATGAAGCCCAGGACTGATGCCACAGTACATAGGAAAACACACTCGAGTTGGGACCAAACAGAGCCTTGAAATGATGCTGTGGATTTAACTTCTCAGCCACGTCATTCTGCTCCGCTCTGTGACACTTGAGACAACATTATTAAATTCCCCATTCTGATACCCTCATTTGAAGCAAAGTGTCTTCAGCAGCCCTAATGTTTGATCTCAGCCTCACAGCTGGGGAAAACCAACAGCTGTTTTGTGATTCAAAAGGAACAGAACAATAACCCACTGAGGCTACTTCTCCTGTATATGTGCATGGGTGACTCAGATGAATAATTGGACAATGCAGATCAGTTAAGCCTAATTCACTTAATAGCATTAATTTGCAAATTAGTACACATTAGGTGAATCATCTGCAATTCATTTTGACAGCTATGTTAAAAAATATTAAAGTACTTACAATGAAACATAGATAAATATTGCTGCTGAAGAGGTTCTGAAGCAGTCAGTTGCTATGTTGAAGTTTTTGTCTGTAAAGGTTGGGGATGCATAGGTTTGAGTTTCATCAAATCAGTAGGAAGCATATTTTGTTCCAGGCTTCTACAACTTCTATCACCCTGACAGCTCTCAGTGGATCTTAAATAATCATTAGAGACAGGCTGAAAAAGTTCTGACTGGAATCCAGGCATAGATGTTGGGACTGACATAGGGGTCTGGTGCAAGGAAAAGAAACCTTTTCCAATTTGAAATCTGGTCTAAGAAAATCAGTGGTAAAATAATCTGTCCTTCTTAGGCTCTTCCTAGGAAAGCTTGGAAACATGTCTGGGTTATTGTTACTAAGCGGCATACGCTTAAGGCAGATGAGCATCTGATATTTGAGCCAGTTTGGTGATGAGCACTGGGAGGAAAATGCCAGTATTATTATTAGGATGTTATTGAAAGCCTGAAAAATGTTTTGGTCAGGTACAGTTAACAGCATCTTCTGAAATCTTACTGCAAAAGTAGTGCTGCAACTACTGGAGCACTAACATGATTTTGGAAGATGCTGAGCTCTGAGTTGTGTGTGATCAGAGCAAATTGAAGAGGCACAATGAACACAAGAGAACGAATGTGTTACACCCCCTGTGGCAGAGAAGAAAACCTTCATCGTTGGCTTGATTGTGCAATGATGGCAAAACCTGGCATTGAATAAACGTTTCTGGAGGAAGAGGATCAAATCACAGCAGCATTAGTTCAGCAGTTTAATCTGACACCTCCATGAAACCAACTAGCACCAGAAACACACATTGCTGCAGTGCTCTATTGCTTCACAGTATCAATCCTCTTTCCTTTTGAGCTATAAATACAGGTTTTGCTCCTTAACAGGTATAAATTATGCTCTCTGTAGATTTCAGTAGACGTCTAGCAGCTTGTACTTGCCCTGGATCTCACTAATCAACACCGGGTACACAGGATTTCCTCAGTAGTGCAAAATTATTAATCAATTATTTCTTTCTTTTAGTGATGATCCTTTACATTCTGTTTTACTGACACTTTCCTGCATGGCAAGCATTCACAGGTTTAGAAAAGAACTTCACCGCAATCAATTTGACTTCACATAAAAGCCATGGAGCTGCCAGAAAAGCTAACCTGCCTGAAGAAACTGTTGCCTATAAAATTTTTATTCTGTGTGTAAAACTTCAGAGGCATGCTATTGGACATTTTGGAAAGGATTTAAAATAGTAAAACAGCTGTAACAGTTACATTGCCCAGCTGCTGAATTTTACATTGAGAAAACTGACCTAGCATTACGTTGCGTCTGTCAAAGTTAGCGCCTCCCGGCTCACAGTCATGGCTTGTAAGGTTTGATGGGGAGCTGGTTAAATGCAATGTCAGAGTAGGTTACCTGGGGCAGCGCACAGAAGGCTGCTTGCCAGTCAGCTGGCAGCCCTGTGGCATCTATCAGATCCAGCAAAATACTGGGAAGTAGTTAATGATGTAGACTTCCAGTGACTGAGTCATGGGTTCTGCTTTTCCGTGTTAACGCTTTGTAACTATAAAAAATGAGAAACTAGCCACCCTTCCCAAGCTCTTCACAACCTCCTGCTCCTTGGACACAAGCTATGATACACAAACCACACACACAGCGAAAGCTGAAAGCCCCCCAGTGCCCAGCTGCAGGCCTCAGACACCACAGCAGCTCACCAGGCTGGCCAGGTCTCAACATCATCGCCTCTGTTACCTGACCCACGCCATTGTCTGAGCAGTCCTCGTGCAATCAGGATTCAAACCCCACTGAAAGCATACAGACTGCAGCCCTGCTGAAGAGTCACAGCAAGATGGAACAAGAAAAACAGCAGACGAAAGTCTCCCAGAGCTGTGTGCCTCTGTGGGAACAGCACAGGAACCTCTCCTGCAGAGCTCTTTCCCAGGACATGCTTAGCAAAGGCTAAACAGCCTTAGGCTCTGGTAATCCTCATCCATCTGGAAAGGAGGCCCTGCAGGCCAGAGTTCAGAGAGATCTTTGGGCCCAAAACGTTTGTTAGTCCTAGAGGCACATTGTTATCACAGCATAAAAAACAGCCAGAAAACTGACCCTGTGTTTTTAGGGCCTCTGACCTGCCACGGGTCTAATGAGATGTTAGAGAAATGTTATGTACAAGATAAGGCATGTATGTGGCTAGTAACCAATATGCCGCAAAATCCCTTTGTTTGTGTGATCCTGTGTGTAGCTCTGACAGCAGCTTTCTCACCAGGCGGCAGGAAAGCACTCCAAGGTGCCCAGCCCAGGTGCCACCCTCGCTTCCAGGACGCCGGGTTACACAATCCAGCGGTACAGCACACCACGGCCGGTGTGGGGTTTTAACTGTCACTTCATCCCGAGCGCCTCGTGTTGTTGAAAATGTCACAGTTCAGCACACAGTGAATTGATTCTTTTACTAGGTCAGGCCCGGTAATAGGCGTTGATATAAGCAGCTTATTACAACAGATGACTAAACTTTGTTCCTAAACGGCAGCTCTCAATGAGACGCAGCCAGGCTGGGTGCACCACAGAGCAGGGAAACTGGCCTCTGCTGTTCGGTAGCATTTTCAGGGAACACCAAATGTTGTTTACTTCCTAATGTCCCTACAGAATATCAATTGTTGCTCTGGGCTATTTCAGAGATAATGCGAGTGACTCACTTACTGACCTCAGGCACTGTGAAGATATATCTTACAGTGCTTTTAAAAACAATTAATGCAGATTTCTGTACTTCTGCAGATGCCTAGAGTGCACTTAAGAGATTTTCACGAGGTGTTAAACCACACGTATCTGGACAAGCCCCATGTTATATGTTGTTAGTAGTCAAAATGCCCCTAATCATTGGTCATACAATCTTCCAGGCTGCATTCTCTGTATCACTTTTGTTATTTCTTCCCTTAGCCAGTTAAAAGTCGGAAAAAGAAAATGTTACCCTCTCTTACAACTATGACAATTTGGGAAGAAGCTGTACCATATCAGTTCATGCAGATCTGTGCAATCTCAATTCAGCAAGACAAAAATCAATGCCTGAAACACTGAGAAATTATAATCTGGTGAGTCTTTTAACACTCTTAACTTCACACTTAACACATGAAGACATAAATGTTTTCCAGAAACTCAAAAACTCTGCCACTCATCCCAAGCAAATACAAGGAAAAGTACTTACAGTTAAACAGCTTATAATGTATCTTAGATTTTCTTTTGGACCTATTGGTCCATGTTAAGCTTAGACTCTATCAGTGTGTAATTCTGAGAAGGAAGGAAAGCCAAATCAATTTGTCTTCACTGAAAACACAGAGGGGGGCATCTTTTAAGCAAACTAGCATGTTTTACTGTCATCTGGTTGGTTGGTTAGTTTTTTGGGCTTTGGAGTGTTTTGGTTTGGTTTGGTTTAAAGGCATAATGGTACTTTAATGGCCTATCTGCAAATGTGTGCATTTTTTCTTTAGTAGATTCACTAAGGAAATAATGGCCCTTCAAAACAACTAAGCATGCTTTACAGCTATGCCTTTTTGCTTCCAATCAGGGAAGAAAAACATTGATTCTGAGAGTGGTAATAACGACTAGGAATTTAATAGCATTCTAGTACACAAATGTGTGTTTGTTTTTCTTCTAATCAGTGCATTACAGGAATAAATACAGAAAATGCAACTGTGATTGCACAGATTTAAGTATTAATTACAAGAGGTGGTAAATCATGGTCTCTCAAAATTTTCTGTAAAATCCACTGACTTAATTGAACCTCCTTAGATTCTAATTGACTTTGGCTAGTCCCTTAATGATACTAAAATCCATCTGTTATTAAACATCATGTTTAATACAATAGTATGCAAATGCTTTGATTCATAAATATCATTATGAAAAAGTTCAGGTCCAATCATATTCCTCTTGAAGTCTGCAACATAAATTCTGTAGACATCAATAAGAATAGGTGTGCAATATCCATTTTTAATTGCACTGTATACAAGTATTGACAGAAGAATACGATACAGTAGTCACAAAATTAAAGAGGCTTCTATGAAACTTACAAAGAAGAGCAGCATGGAATCAATGAAGTAAGTAAAAGCAATATTTCAAAAAATAATAAATCAGACTTGGCAGTTTTGGAAAACAATACCAAAGATAAAGACAAATGAATCGGCACAGTTTAACAACCTAATTTCTAAGTGCACTTTATAATAACTCTCCTTACAAGCTGCTGTTTTCCCAGATGATGACAAAAAGCCTCATTAGAAGATCACTGTTTTACAGTGACAGGTTTTATTGCATTGCCAGCTGTGAAACTAAAAAAAGAAACACCACCCTCCCCCCAAAAAAAACTCCTATAAAGATTCCCAAAACCCCTGTTTTCTTTTGTTATCTTCAAAAAATAGCAACATAGCACTTCCATATGTTTGTGAATACCCACAATTCTATTAAAAAAAAAGTGATTTTTGTCTTAGCTTCAAAAATAATATAAAGAAACATTTAAGAACAAGATATTTCAATGATCAGAGAGATATGTACAATGTGATAGACTTAAGTCCAATCCTGCAAATACATGTTCATGAATGCAGAGTTAAGAACCTGTTGATCCTAAGTGTAATTAAAGACTGGCAGGATCAGGTTCTTAGCTTCACCCATTATAAGCTTTTCCACAGTATGTCCTAGCCTAAAAAGTATAGATACAGTATATACTCTGTATACTGATTTATACAAATGGTCTGTTACAGCTCTGTCCCTGTTATTGCTAGGCTAAAAGTGAACATTTGGAACAAATTACATGAATCATAAAGGATAAAACTGAGATGCAGCTTCTGACGACTGAATTTCTACTTGAGCCATTTTAAATTGGGTACACTGTAGCCATTTGCGGAGCACAGATGAGCTACTGTTCATTTGTCCTGACCCCTGTAACATCCTTAGGCTGTGATGGTTGACATTGCTCTGGATGGCTTGGAGGCGAAGCTGGAGTCCAGCAGATAAATGCTGTTAAAATAATGCAAAACATTTAGTTTCTTTCCTTTACTACATATATGAATACAGCAGTTCGAAAAGTACCAGTTGATGGCCAAGGAAAGCTCCTCCACTGCCCCAGTGTCACATTTCTTTCTTCAACATCCCGCACTGCAGTGTTGTCATGAAAGGCAAATGTGCTTACAGAAACAACTCCACACTGAGACCAACTCCAACACTTTTATTCTCATTACCAAAATCCTCTTGACTGGCAAACAACGCTCATCCACCTTGCTCTCTCTTACAAATTGAGCCAGCTGTCATAGTTTTACCCAAGCAAGCAGGCCCAAAATATCTATCTGCTATAGAGGCCAAATCCACCTCCTGAGTCAAGAGCCCCAATCCTGACGACAGGGGACTCTCAAGCCTAAGACAGCAAGAAAACCACAGCTCAGGGAACAACCAATCTCAGTGAACAGGAAGGAAATGCCCTGGCACACAACCTGGTTAGGAAAAAGCGTTTCAGAAGGAAAAGGGAAAACAGTACTGATTACAGGATAAGTATCTTAGCTGATGATGCTCACATTTCAGACTTCCATCTGGATACACTAATATGATCTGTTTTCAGAGAGTTTGGAGAGTCTGGATCTTATTTCCAGAAATTAGAAAAACATGTAATACTAAGAACAGAAGGGTAAGGTACTAGAAACAACGTACCTTTAGATTTGACTGGATCATTGGCAACCACATTGGTATGAGCTGTAAGAAGAGAGGTATATTTTATTATTATACAAGTGACTGAAAACATGCTCCAGTTACTGTGAGACAGAGAAGAGTATATCTAACACACTTGGCTGTCCAAATGGACAAAGCCTGAACTACAAACCTGAAAATGTGGTTATTTTAAAATGATACCCCCGATGGGGCAGGTAAAGAGGTAAAGAAGCCAGCTTCCCTTGTGTGTAGCTTGATGAATCACCAATAGCAATTACTGATATCCTGTTTAAAGCAACAATGAGGGTAACAACATAAAAACTTCTTAAAGGAAATAACTTCTTCTTTTCCTTGTAAGGGTGTTTCTGTATGTGCAGGTGACAATACTGGAATAAACACAGTGAACATTTCGCATGGCAAGGTATACATCAAGAATTGAAAAAACATCCAGCAGAAGTTGCTAAGCATAGCCCAGATATTTAAATGGTAACCAGCATTTTATAAGCCACTAATCACATCAGTGCTTCACTGCAGGCCTGTAGGCCTGGGAGCACAGGTGAAAACTACCCATAATGACAAGGTGAGGAGGTCTGCGAATGTCACCTATGATTGGATTGATACATATTTCAGTCCTTCAGAGAACCTTTATTTCTGAGTAAGTACAACATGACAAGCTTATGCCTCACAGAGAGGCATTTCTAGCAGAAGTATTCATGTTCTCCAATATTAATTTAACCACCGAGGTTATTGTTCTAAAATGTTCCTCCAAATGGCATTAGAATTTGCAATTTGCCAATTATGCTACTGGGAGCTGCAAGTTAAACCTAATCACTATTGACAACATTAGATAAAGTGCTGTTTCCCTCGTGCAAGGAATGGTAGCTATTTCAATTTTAGTGCTCTCTTGCTGGAGAATCACATGCAGCCCTGTCAGGACTGATTACTTAGTCTACCACATGAAGAACCATATTCAAACCTCAGCATTTACAGACAGATGAATGCTAGAACAGCTGGAATGCAACCAGGTGCAACAGATGTGTGAGTTCTGTACATTCTTCTGTGGGATCTCACACTAAGGAAGTGCTTAATAAGACCAGTGACTGCAAGTTCTCATGGTTTTTTTGGAGGAGGGAACAGGTAAGCATACTGAAAAGCCATGTTCCAAGCCCCACTGCTATCAACAAAACATCACTGAAAATTTCAGCCAGCATTAACAGAGTTCCTCTGGAGCTAGGCAATGATGATAGGACTGGCATTACAAGTACATCAAGCAAGGAAGGAAGATAGGCAGAAAATTCAGGGTGCCCCTCTGCATCTGAATCAATTCAGTGGACATCTTTTACAGTCAGCTGAGAGAATCAAGCACTACTCACAGACAGTTCATCTGGTCCCAAAGCAGGTATCTAAAATAGATCAAGATGAATCATATCAAAAAATACCTGTTTCTCTCCACTGATTATAAAGGGCACTCATGGAAACTAGATCATATTGATATTTATGTTGCAGAGGTCTAAGGTTAGATACAGATCACTGTCCTCCAGCACCATGTCTGTCTTCAAGGGTGTGGACACATTTAGGGAAATGAAACCTGCTGCTGCAGGCATAAGCAAGCAAACGCTTCACTGACATCTGCCAGTTAGATAAATGAGACAAGGAATTTTTATTGAAGCACTTGAGTTTTACTATATAATCTCCAGCCAGCCTTTTCTTCACATAGGAAGAATGCATAGAGCTTGTTAGAAAGAAAAGCTGGAAGAACAGAGTGCTGTCACACACTGTCACTTTTTTCTTTTTTTTTTTTTAGTTTATATTTTCAACAGATTTATGTTGATTCCAGTGCAAGTTTTGATGAAAACCAGGTGGAGAACAGGTTGAGCACTGGCTCCCCAACTCTGTTGCCTGCCCAGTTCTCTAGAGATCTACCCATCAGCTGCTGAAGCTGCCTAAACCCCCTGATTCTCTGGAAAAAACATTGTGGTTGCTCAGCTGCTCCTTTCTCTACTCTGGGCTTCCTAATTCCTCAGATACACATCTGATGGTCAGACAGAGAGCTGTAATCAGCAAAGAGATAGTCTCCCTCATCAGTGGCTGTCCTGGGATGGCTAGTTTCCCAGTTCCTTTGACACAGAAAAGCCCAAGGAAAGCTGAACGCTTTTATTTCAGCCCTCCTAAAGCAGAATGCTTCCCCTCAGAGGAAAATATAATGAATTAATATATATGTAGGTTTGTGCGCATCTGTGAAATATGTGTGTATGTATATACATACCTCACTCCAACTTAGAAAGAATAAATACATAACAGTTGAAAGAAATTTTGTTTTTGTCACCAAACTGGTAAAGATAGTCTAACACAAGACACAAAAAATATCCTCTGAGAAAACAGACTATAGGAAGCAATCAAGACATGTCTCAATTCTATCACTGAGTTTAATATAATAGCAAAGGCAAACACAATAACAAGAAGAGGAAACCTCACAGCACCAACACAAGGAGGAGATGAAGGAGTACGTATCTCAGGCATAAAGAAAGCTCTTCTTTCAGTGAAGGATAGCTGAATGATTTACATCTCTTTCTCTTTTGGTTTAGGACCTATTTTCTCCTCAGTTGTCATACAGAAAATGGCCACCTGCGATAGCTATCCCATAATCCACTTAGCATCATGTCACATGCAGCACCTTCACATTGTGGTGCATTAAATATATGTGTCCTCAGTCACACAATGACTTCATCAACAAATGAAGTTTTTGCAGCACCTGACTCCTTAGGTGGAATAAAGGCACTACAATAAGCACAATTCCATGAATGACAAATGATCGGGCTTTATCAGGGCTACTGTGTTCAGTTCCAAGTAGAAGTCATTGGGAATTAATAGTTTTGCCAAATGAACCTCTGGAAGATTATTGAGAATATTCTGTTTAAAAAAAAAAACCCAGACTCTCACTAACTATATTCTTTTTTTCAATGAAAACTAAACCTTGTTTGAAAGGCTTATATCTAAAATACAATTTAGAAAAAAAGGTTAATGCACAAGATAAAATTGTTTCATTATCAAAGGCAGGGAAATAAAAGATTGTCTAGAATAGAACAAGCTACCCCAAAAACTGCCCAGTCAACTAATATTCAAAGAATTGTCATCCTTGCAGACTTCTCAAGTAGGAGTAAGAAAGTCCAAATCATCTTCACAGCTACTGTCTCAAAATTGATCTTTTTTGAATCACAAAGATGCTACCCACTTCCTGGTTCCTTCTGGCTCTTTGAAGGACTTCAAACATACAGTAAGTCTTTCCCCAAACCAAGACACTTACTTTTCAGATCTACAAGAAATATTCTTACAATTAATCTGTTTTGTTAAAAAAAAAAAAAAAAAAAGAGAAATCATAACCTAGAACTAGAAATCCTATGATGCTACCATGTATGTATATTGTTCTTGCAGGATTCCACTTTAAGGCTAAGTAAAGGGGATATTGTTACTCAAATTCTTCTCTTCAATCTCCCATCCACTGCACATGACAGAAAGCTTAATACCTTAACTTTGAACTTCACAGGTTTATGAGCTTGATTTTGTACTAACACTATGTTCTTCAATTTAGCATATTATTGATATATACTAACAAATATAACTCCCTGAAAGCATTCGTTTGAATTGTGACAGGAATGTGGTGCTAAAGGCCTCTGTTTTCACAGCTTTAAAAGCATTCTTCATCCTTGTCAAATTCTGGGCATCCTGGACTGGCTGAAAGAGAAGCCCATATGTCTTCTAGGGACAGCCATGATGACTTAGTGCCCAAGTTTCTGTAGTGAATCAAGTCGTTACTGACTCTAAATCTGTATTTTCACAATGAGCATGAATACTTGCATGCTAGTTGACACCAAGACCTTCAGTTTTAGCTACTTTATTTTCAATTCCTGCTTGACCGTAAAAGACTGGAGTAAAATAACAGTCAGGATTTTCCTTCATGCCAGCAGCAGAACTGAAACCCAACATATTTCCGTTAGATTCACAGTGTGTTTAACTACTTGATTTGTTGATATTTTATGTGAAAACTCCCTTCATAATAATGCAACTGGAAAACATGTAAAAAAGACATTGACTGGTCTTTTTACTAGAGCGTTTATTTTTTGTTATGCTTTACTAGTTTTTATTTCTGCAACTTCAGCTCCCTCCACTTTCTCTGTTTTTTTTTTTTTTTGAGTGGGAAGGGAAGCAGAGGACGATATCTCTGGAAATAACAATAGACAGGCAACATCAATAACTAAATATTCATGGTGTGGTAGTGGTATGCCTACCTTTACAAAGATAGTAGAGTTGCATTCCTGTAAAGCTTCCATTAGACTGATCACATGCAGGCACACCATTTCCACCATCTGGGAAGGGAGAGGGAAAATCAAGCATAAAACCAAATTAGTGTCCTGCGTAAATGTTGCAAGCTAAGCCAACAGTCTCTGAAAAGAATCTTCCTGTATTTGCTTAGCAGTTGTACTGAATCACTAGATGTGCATTTATTAACCACTGACATATAAAATTAAATATTACATGAATACACAAGGGACATTTTTCTTTATTTATTTTTCCCTTGATGCAACACCTATCTGTTAAATATTTCGAAGTGCTTGAGGTATTTCAATTCAGATCACACATCAAAACAAGTTGCCTTCAGCTTTGTTCTTTTCAGACACCATAAATCCTTTAACATGTCTTTCTCTGTATCTCTCATCAATCAGCGTGTCAGAAATTGGTATTTTTATTTGCTGAATCTTTGAAAACTAACATATCCACAAAACCCATCTTTTTCCACCCATCAAAAGACAATTTATTGTTCTGAACTGGCAGCTAGTCCATAATTCTTCCATTTTGTACCATGAATTATGACAGATGGAAATATCAGTTATGTGGTACTAGACAGCATTTTATGGTTTATATTGTGTAAATTCATAGATTCAAGACAAATACCCTTAGCCAGCAGTATTTACAGTGTCTGTCTGAACTATGTGTAAATTCCCCTTGATAATAATAAACTTAGCTTTTATGTAGTGCATTTCATCTCCAAAGTGCTTTACAAACACTAGTTAATTAACCTCACAATGCCTATGTGAGACAGGCAAGTATTATTACCTACATTTCACAGAGCAGAAGCTGAGGCAGAGAGTTTAATAACTTGCACTAAAGCCACATAATCAGATACTTTCAGAAAAAAGGACTGGAACTTGGGACTTCCAGGTCATATTCTTGTCCTAAGACTTGACAATAAGCTTTTGTGTCTGGCTAAACTACTGTCTAGTTAGAAGCGTTATGCACATTTCCTGTTCATTCAAATGGAGCTTCCATAAATTACTGTTCCCAACAGTGGTTTGTCAACCTCAGAGACATCACTAGATGTCAGAGGCTAAAATACCATCTAAATACAACTTAAGTGGTCCTTGCCTGATAAGGACAAGACACAAGGGAATGGTAACTGGTTCAAAGACATTCAAGTGCAGCATGCAATTACAATTCAAAGGGCAAAGATCTCTACCTGCCTGGGGTGGTAGATGTTTCACATGGGGAAAGGGGAATTACAGAAAATAATTTCCATGTAGGTATCAGGTCTCATTTGAAAAAGTAAAAACAAAGGATGAAAATCCCAAACCTTGAGAGCACTCAGCTTAGAGGACTGGGCCACATGTAAAGAATCTTTCTCCCTCAAAGCTAGTATCAGGTTCTCCAGAGTCAGAGCCACTAGTTACCATCTCAGTTAAAAAGTTCTGACAAGTCATGACAGAATTGTCATGGCTTTCTGGGAAGTGGGAGTCACAATATGTCTTGCCTATCAGAAACAAGCTCTCAACTCTAAGCCTGCAGGCACAGGGGATCATTAGTCAATGGGAAACAAAGGTAGCACCTATAAGAAGTGTGCTGGAACCCCTCTGGTTTCTTATGTTACTAAGCTGCTCCAACAATAGCAAGTAGTTGAGATAAACAAATGCTTACAGATTATCTCCAGAAAATGGTCTGGACAATTTCCGAACAGAGTGAACACTTCCCTTTCAAAACTTATCTCTAGAAATACCAAAAAATCTTTCCAGAGATATTTATGTAGCTTATTTTTCACAAGTAACCCGTGGGTTATGAATAGTCAAGTGTCAGCATTTGCATATTTTTTCACCATTACATGGTTACAAAAATATTCAAATGGATATTCACAGAATTGTCCTAGAACACTTAGTTGCTCCTATTAGGCAGAGTCAGATGAAAGAACAGGACCACTGTGAAGGATAGGAAGATACATAAAACAAGAGCTGATGCAGGGAGCCTTTAATACAACAAACAGTGACTCTAGCTCTTGATTCTGTTTCAGACACATTCTGGCTAGATCCTGTTTCAGACCCACTGCAAGGTTAACCACTATTAATTAGCTTTTCTTTTAATTTCTCAAAAGCATCAAAGTTACTTTATGATGTTATTCATAGTCCAATGTATTCCATTGAAACACTGCCAAGCCCTTCGAGTTTAATCTATACTAAATCCGTACACAGCACCTAACTCACCACTTTGTTATGTGCCATTAGCTGTAGGATGCTAGGTGTCACTCGGCTCCAGAACTCCAGGGCAGTGAGGATTGCTGTAAAGCTAAATTCGTTCTGATTCTGGACTGTTGGAGCTACTGCTGTTTGTTCACAATATACTGTCCAGAGCTGAGCAAATATAAATGCATGGAAGAGGGAACACATGTGCAGAACAGATGTCTGTAGAAATAGAAAATAGAGGAAAATGTTTATTTAAGTAAGTGTATTGAGATACAGTGCAGAGGCTTCAATCAAAGCACTGTGCAGTCTTGCCTCTCACTTTCCCACACATTTCCTTCTCACTAGGAACGGGTAAGTCAAGTGCACTTGATAACATCTTCTCTATGTTTAAAAACTGTTTTTATATTTCCAGACTAAAAGCTGCATTTGCAAACACACACCCCCAGGCAATCTTAGTGTATGGCATTAAGGTCAGTCACTTTAAAGGGAAGGTTAGTTTTGCAAAACAGTTACTCAAGACTAGTGCTGAGACTTTACTGATGGAGAACTCCACCACAGTCTGTGGAAGGCCTGGAGGACCTGGCACATATGCCTCCATGTCAAAAATATTCCTGGGGTAAGTCATTCAGATCACCTGAGAGAAAGGCAATTATACACAAAACATCATCTTACAGATCTTTTGTTAATCTGTCATCCATTTCTATCTTGCTGGGACAGAACTGTTCACAGTCAAAGGAAGTAAGTTTTGAAAAGCTAACAGAGAATTCATTTTGTGTACTCAAACATGGCTCTTTGCTAACAGGTGTTATATATGACAGTGTCTGTGCTTCCAGGAGTGCTGGATATTAACTAATTCACTACAAGAAAGATGTTCCTGGTCCGAGATGTTTTCTCAGTTTGCAAGTACAACAGTGATTCATGTTCTGTGGCAGTATGACTGCACCAAACATTGCAAGCGTTGCTTGGTGACTGGAAAGAGGTATTTGAAAGAAGGCCAAATAAATGAATGGGAAGTACCAGTGTCTTGGCCGGCTGAGGGGAAAGAAAGGGGGATTTTACATACAAGATAAATGAGTGGTTATTCTGCTTTTGTTGCTAATGAACACCTGGTTAGTGTCAAAGAGTGATGCTATATCTCTGTTAAACTACTGTCATAGATGGCTTATGATTTGCAGTAATTCTTGAACCATCACTGCTTGTAATTAACTTTTGATCATAACATTATTTATAGGCTATTCAATTCTACTATACAACTAGAATAAGTAATATTCTGAGAGATTTGCCACAGAGATGTCCATTGCTAAAGCTTCAATTTGGAATTCAGTTTTTCCTTTCTCATTACTGTGCTATTTTGAAATTGTTGAATCTCAAACTTAATTGTAGTAATTTCATCACCAGTTTTCTATGCATGAGGAGGCAGCTATGCAAGAAAAAAATGAGATTTCT